TAACAACATTCTTCAACACGATATTTTTCCCTGTATTGGCGACGCTGCGTCTCGTGGAAGCGACGGCGCGACGCCTCCTGCCTATCAAAGCTGGCCCTCAATGGGTTAAACCATCGTCCTCATATATGTCGTAGAGGCCTCTGACCACTGTGCCACAAGCAGCCTTAGCATCATGTTTGAGAAGTCACAAATATGGTCATATATAGAAGATTAGGGGATTCTCATGCTGAAATACTGAACAACAATCAAAAATCCATATGATATTTTGAAAATATCACAAAAACATCTATTGAAAAGAGATCTGTTTCAATTATAATGCAGAACAATACCTTCAAATATCAGAGTAAAGTTTTCCCGGCAAACGAAGGTACACTATTCTTTATTTATACTCTTTATTTATTATACATTATTATATTATTATATTATATTAAATTCTTACAAATACAACTCTTCAACTGGCAACAAGAATTTTCCAAAAGGTAATAACAAATTGATGCCATAAAAAAATCCGTGTACACGAAAGTGACACAATGCAAACTAGAAACTCGGTATGTACATCCATCCTTCCGAGTCGGATATCGATTTTATTTGTGCCTTAAGTTGCTAAACTTCATCAAATGTTCTTAAAATATATGTCTTTGTAAATGAAGTTGGACTACGCGGCCCTTTTATTTATTTTAAAGAAAAGGTGGATTAGCTGTTGCTCGCGCGTGTTCAGGAAGAATGCGTAAGTCTGAGACAGCTGAAGCAACGAAGGCACTGTCACCATCCAGGAGCACATCAACACCAGCTAAATATCAAAAATAATCAAAGAAATGAAATATCCACTAGCTACAGTAGTCATGGGTACAACAGATCACACTCACTTCGTTCAGTGGCCACCTCAATTCTCAAGCAAAGTTCGCGAAAAGGTGGTTTCCGTTTCACAAGACTACAAAGTACATTTTAATCCGTAGGAACCAAATGTATCAATTCAAGTCAGTGATGCTCTCTCAGCAATTCTACTATCAGTTGACCGACTAAAAAGGAATGAAAGGTCATGGTGAGCATTAGACGAGAAACTGAACCATCGACCACGGGTGTGCCGCAGTGCTCCCCTAGCTACTGTACCAGCCTCTAAATCTAAGGTATAGAACCTCTCTTCCTACCAGAACAAACCCTGGTTTCCGGAGCCCATAAGACGAATTTTGTGCATATTTACTCGCAGAGGCTCGTATTTCATAAATAAAGTCGATTGAATAAGCGATATTTTCCTTCGCTTACAATACGATCATTACCCTAAAGGTGAAATTATCGTCTACAGCTCTAAGACTTTGAGTGTTTCAGGAGCACCAAATTTCGTTATACTCTGTTGCAAAAAAATACTCGTGCTTTTCCGTTAGACGGCGGCAAATGAATACTCGGCCCTATTCACTATGAATGAACTTTCATAAGAGTGATAGTGAACATTCAAAAGCTTAAATCACTGGCTAGCGCGATACGTGGTCGTTTCAAAAGGCCTCCATTATAAAGTTTTAACGGAGGAGAAAACACTTATGTTTCATACACGCCTTTATCTTGCAGGGCAGAGCTCTTTCTCTAGACTTCTAGTGATCAATCGATCGAGTAAAATTTGAAGATTCAAACACTGTGCTTATTTCCTGGAAAAACTGCTCGTGCTCTACTGCTTATTGCTAATATAACGCTTACTAGCTATAGAACAATCGACTGCATATCACTGCAATTCCAAGTGGGCTTTTCACTCGACGTGTAGTTTAACATGTCCGACGCCCATGCCCTTAGTTGTAGGGGCTCGGTTGAACTGGAAGGCACCGTGCTACTGGCTTGTTAAAAAGACGAAAAATACGTCTAGCACTAGAAGTGCCATATCAGACATCTGACAGGCTTAAGAAGGTTATATCAGACTAAACTGAATTTTAAGCGAGGTCTTGAAATATATCGTAGTATCTATGCAATGAATCCAGCACGGATCTCTTCCCGTAAAGGTATACACTGTTGTTGAAAACCTCTAAACAACCTCTATTGTCAATCTCTCTTAGTAAATAACACCTGTGGAACCTTCTCGGCATTGAAGATTGTTTCTAAAAGTCATCCACAATTCGAGCAGCCAAATTAACTATTCATATCCGGTCCGAAACAGCAACTGTTCCAACATAACAACAGGATCTGTAGTAAATTGATCGAAAATTCGAGGTGAAGCTGTTCTTCTGCTCCCGTAGGGAAAGGGATGATACTCGTCGTGTATAATATTGGCAAGCCCATAGGTTCACGTCAGATTTAAGAATACAAGACAAAAAAATATTCCGCGAAAAAAGCAACGACAAAACAAAATCTTTGCCTCTGCCTTTCTCTGCAACCATGTATCCTAAACATATCTGAAGAAAAAATCTGCGTAGAGCACAAATATTCCACCATAAAAACAGCCTTGATCATCCAGAGAAATAATGTATACTCAGTTTCTGACCATATCGCCGAGTTCCACGATCCGACTTCTTCGTCGTATTTCCTTTTCACATGACTTAGAAGCGTGGAATTTTACAGAGGCAATCGACAAAACCTAGGAAGCGCTAGAGAATAAATGAGATTCAGAGGGAAACCTAATGGGGTCGCCTCATCTAGTTCGGGATCAATCCAGGACATCGCTGTATAGATCTTACATGCTGTCGTCATGTCCCATTGTTTCTTTGCATACGTAACCGTCATCACTCACAAGCGTAACGATCCCTAATCTTTCTTCATTGGTTATAGATCGAATCTACACCACATAAACTGGGAGAAAATGTGAAAACTCTTCTTATTTTACCATTTTATAGCAGTGGCATGATGCTACAACTACATATCCATGAATGTCGGGTGATATGCAAAGCTTTGAATCTCGGTCAAAAGCTGAACCAGCTTCTCACCCTCTACGGGAGCATGTATTTACCACTGCACTACGGGGCTACTGCTCAACTATCACTTTTTGCGATACAGCTGCCACTAAAATGTAATGTTTCAGGAAAAAATGATAATATTATAAGCAACGTAGTGAAAGACGAACCATATGAAAAAGACAATCTTGAAGAATCTTTCCCGGTTTGTGTGAAATGAGGAGTTAGACTCCCGCACATGAATAGAGTTTTGCCAATCACTCAGAATCCTTAGATATGTAGATGTAACACGAATCTTATGTCATCCAGCAATGCTGAGCCTAAACTGTGGGCGAGAACCGAATTCAGTCTCATCCTTTTCGGAGCACGTCCCAGAAAGAGTGACAGCAGAATAGAAGCTCCGGTAGTACATAGGTTAGGACATACCTCCAAAAAGGGTGAGACGTGAGATTAGCTCACGCTCGGGGTTTAGGGGATGTGTATCACTCAACACTGTTGGATATATAGTTATAACATTATATCATTGCTAAAAAGGCGGTTTAATGAAGCATTCTTGCAGGTTTCTTGGATTTCAAGTGATATCTGGGTAATTCAAATGAGCACTTGAGAAATGCAGATTATAAATCAGATCGTTTTTAGAAAAAGCTCCATATAACGGACCACCATCACTCTATCATCTGTCGTTTTGATAAGCTTAGAAATGACTCGAGCAGGGCACACCCGCAAAATTTCCATTTTTGCTTGTGGCGTGCAAGAGTAACTCAGTGGATCATCCTAGCTCCAGAAATTCGATGTCTTTCTTTTAGACTTTTCGTTAAGAAATCGGACTATAGGTGCGGTGGTCTTCCTGTAGAGGTAAAAATGCACTACGAGCTTGGCGTTCGAGAACATCAAGTACCTAAAGAACAATTTCATCGCTGATACGAAGATTTTACTTGAGCTTTCAGTTAATTTATGTGAAGTAATTGAAGTTATATTCGCACTATGAAGACGACGATCCTTCAGAAAATTAGGGTTCACCTCCTACGCCTTACCATAAATCGCAGAAAAAGGAAATATTTGGAATATAAAAGTTGTCAACTCACTTCTTGCATCACAAGACGGTTTACTAATGCCTGATCTCCTTTTTTGTTAGTTGCAATGCCAAATACTTGAGTAGAAAATGTAGAGCCTCCATTGTAAACCATAGCAACAGGCAAAGTAAAGCCGGTGGCAATGAAGGTACGAGTGCTCGCTGCAGGAAGTATCGTTCTTTTTTTATTGGCTAATCATACATTAAAATCATTGTTTTAAATAATATTCCTATCTATTTCGTTTCTTACTTTCACAGTGACCATATTATGAAAAGCTTAGGATACGACAATTTTGAGAAGACATTAAGTGGCACTTATAATTGCTTTGATTCTTTTCATAATCTTCTATCTGAGATTGGAAGCATTCGTCCTATTATAAAAATTTCTGGTCCTCACTTTGACTCGCAGGTATCACTCCACATCCTAGAGCTATAGAGATTATGACTAGCAATGAAAACATAGGGAGATCGGTTGAAAATTTTGTCATAATCATGAGGACATTCCTATCTTTCCACTAAACACCTTAGCAAATATTGTAGATAAAATTATGGACAGATTTCCCACTTTTTCATGGGATCGTTCTTGCGACAGCGAACTTGGAACTCAGCACTCAACTGTGAATGACTCTGACGTTGAAGTTCCTCCACTTTCCATGTGCTTTGGAGTTTCCCATTTCGTCAAGTTCAAAACAAACTCTTCTAAAGCACGTCTTGTGATCAGTTCTGCTATTTCGAAGCACAAAAGATTGGTTGGACACGAATGCATGCTAATTTTTGAACTAGAACGAGGTAAGTGGAAAAGGGTGACTTGGAAAGAAGTTCTAATGATTGTGACAATTTACCCAATAGTGTAGAGTGCTGTGCAAAAACGTTTGCATCAGCCGGGATTCGATACCGCAAGTGGCGGTCAAACTAATCATTTCTGATTGACTATTGATAGTCAATATCTGTCAACACAAATGGGTTCATTGTCGATGACGATTACCCCGCCAGACCTTAGACAGTTAGCTGTTGAGAGGTAACGCATTGTAACGCAGAAAGACTGCAGTGCAAAACGAGCTTCGGTGGAGCGACGGTTAGCGTGCGCTCCCGGGAAGAGTGAGATCTGAGTTCAAATCCCGGCTGACGCAAACATTCTTGCACAGCACTGTTGCTATTGGGTATATTGTAACATCATAACACCGCAAGTGGTGGTCAAATAAAGGCATCTGTGATTGTGTCAATTCCTCAAGAGTCACGCCTCAAATTCTTTTCTCACTAGTGCATATGTAATGCCGTGACATAATATTTTGACTTTTCAATAATGAAGGTTGCGCAGTTGAGTGAATATCGGGGTTACAACTGAACATTTGAGAGAACATGTGTAGGAAATATATACCATTACGAAGAGTAGTCCAGCTTTGATGGCAAAAATTTTGGCAGCAAATTTTAGGGAGATAAGTCACGTTATAGCGTTATTTCGATTGCTTTCTCAAGACCACGCTAAAATTAAATAGATCTCTTCATTTTTATTTGAACCTACATGTCATGTGGTGTGTGGGGACTAGAGCAGCCGCAGAGGACTGGCTAAAAAAAGTTTGGAAAACGACGGGTTCAGCCCGACTGAAGAGACTGTAAGGGCGAAGCACGTGTATCGGGCTGTACAAGAGCCCTTTACCATACCACATGACATTTGGCTCATATAAAATTGAAAAGATCTTTTAAATTGCGTTACTTAAGCTTTGATGTTTTCATTAACTTCCCGCATTAATTACGCTTATGGAGTGTCCTTTGTTAATGAAGAAGCTGACTGATTGCTAAGGAAGAAGCTTGAGCGGATCTCAAATGGACGGTTCATGGAACAGGAGGGGAGTAAGACTGCATCTAAAATCCAGCATTGCAATGAAGAAGAAGGAGAACCGTATCAGAATTGGCAGCACAAAAACAAAGGTAGTGAGACGTCTTGCCAAGAGGCACCAGAATTCAACATTTTATAGGATCGACAGTGCATCGGAATGAAGAACTAAAGTGAACGCTGTTGAGAACACAGTCGAGATGACGCTCAACTGTGACGTCTTTAGCCACCTCTTTTACGTTGCAAATTCCACATCAAGGTGGATATTTGTGAAGCAGCCTTAATTCTCTTATCTCGTGAACAAGGACAACCAAATCAAGAGTGTATTGTAGAATTTGTATAGTGAATTGCCAATCCATTTCTAAAACGGTCACTAATTCTTCAAAGCAAGAGTTTGAAAACTTTTCACCAAAAATTGCGCTAACAAGCAATTGTCATTGGATCTCGCAAGAAAAATGCTAGAACTACATTGAGTGCAATTTCGACTTTTTAGTCATCATAACATTAGTTTCGTTCTCCATTTCACGAGATTGTAGCGCAACATAAGATGAACCGAATTTTCTGGAAAGCTCTTTATTGGCAGCTGCACCTCCAACAAAATGAAAAATGTTCTGGAAAGCATTTCCACTGCTACGTAGATCACATACCAGAATTGAGTGAAATAATGTGCTAAGTAAAGAATTCTACGAAATTTCAATATCTCAGCTATAGTTCTCCGAATAGGAACGTAAGAAGCTCTGCTTGTCTGCTTCTACAGTGACAAATGGAAGGAACCGTCAGCACTGCAAATTCATCGTCTGAGTTTTGAAATTTCTGCGAACAATGACTGGAACTGAGTAGGCGGTTCCGTATCGAACTTCCGCTGTGAACAGTTCCGTATATTGGCAGTCGTCTCTGTCGTTTTAGTTTGGTTTTCAAGCGGCGAACATCTCAGCTACAGTATTTTCTTACATTTTTAACGATGTTGAAGTATGCCAGCAAATTTCAAGGGCTGCTTCTATCAAACTATTCCATCAATGACCAGCTGGCATAATTGCGTCACAACGTTATCTTATGCGGATTTCCACAACATGTATCACCTGCTGATCGTCGAGTCACTCTTTTGACGGCCCGTAGAACTTTCCTTTTTGCCTATCGTGTGAAAGAGTGACAAGCCCGTTTTCCTAGCTGATTCTTCATATAAGCCTCGCATGAGGAAATCAGACCATTGGGCCGGTGATACTACCGCTGCTCGTTTGACATTCTCGACATTCCGAGAGAGTTTCCCATATTGTCGTCCCGCAAGAATACCGTTATTGAGCTGGCAGATGTGAACTTTTATAAAGCATTGGCGTTATTTCAACGAAATAGCACTTCTGAAGTCTCTTAAATGATCTTCTATCTTTCTACGACAACAAAACAACCTTCAGCATTCATAAAAGTCAAGTTTATTTGAGAGACTACTACATTACCCGTGGATCTAACGACATATTTTAAGCCTTTCATGAGGTCTGCTATTGCACTTATAAAGTGCCTGACACGTGTTTCACCTTTCCAGCCCCATCAGCAGCATGGTGTCTTTGATTTATGCTAATGCCTCGTAAAGGGTTATGCCTCCTACATCCGAAAGAATCGGCGATGTAGATCTTACAGTGCACGCGCAATGTGAAAATGTCACTCCACACTGCAGAGGTAAGAAATCACTGCATGTCCAGTGACAGGATCACCTAGCATAGTAGTGATGGCGTGAAATATGCTATCTGATTATATTGTTTTGAGCAAGGACTCGAAAAAACGGTCGAATATAAAGATATTATCTCAAATCATTGGATAACTCGCTGTGAGCCTATTTTCATAGCCGCACGAATCGCTAGACGGAAATGCACGCCATCTCGAAAGAGTCAAAAATCAGATGCACCGGAAATATGAAGTGTATCAGCGACAACTGGGCAGCAGCAGTAAACATTTTTAATAAAATGGAACTGAAATGACCAGTAAATTTTAACGTGAACAACCTATTTTATATCCGATAAGCGATGACAACCCACACTCATGGGAAAGCTTTCCCCTTATAACAGCGCGGAATGGAGAATGGAATTTAATCTATTTTATTAATGAAGGACAGAACGATAGGCGGTGACACAAATGACATGCATTTCTACATATAGCACGCCATGAATGAGTTTCAGACTGATAATGGGCTAATCAACAGTTATGAACTCCTCATTTGAGTCCTAGCAGGTGGAGGGCAGGTTGCAACGACTACAGAGACCTCATGGTTTGAGACTTAATTTACTTAAGCAGAAAAAGCTAGCATTATTCAAACGGATAGCATAGCCCTTTCCAACTATACATAAGGCGCAGGAAAGAATTCTGATAACATAGGGTAAGTTCTGCGCACATAAATTTTCGTCCAAAGACCACCTGCATCACTTGTCGTCCCGCTGATCGTCGAGTGACTCGAGCGGGTACCAGCAACTCTTCCATTTTTCCCTATCGCGTGCAAGAGTAGCCCAGTGGGTCCTCCTCGCTCTAGGAATTCGCTGAGCATCATATCTTTCTTCCATCGCTTTCGTGAAGAAATCGGACCAACGGGTCAGTGGTCTTCCTTTAGAGCGCTTGACGTCCCGAGGAATCCAGTCGGTAACGGCTCTCGTCCATCGGTTGTCGTTGAAGCGCTCACGTGTCCGGCCCACCTTATTTTCGATAGCCTGGCGTGTAGAACGGCGTCTCTGATTTTCGATCGTTGACGTAGGTCGGAAGTTCGGATCCTTTGTCTCATTTGCGAAATACGAGATACTCCTAGCATCGACCTTTCGACTGCGCGTTCGATAACGGCAAGTGATCTTTCATCCTGCTTACGTAGCGACCAGGTTTCTGCTGCATACGTTAGGGCAGGGATAATTGTCGAGTCGAAAAGGTGGGCACGGAGTCGGACGTTCTTTGTCCTCTTCACTACATCTTCGATGCTCTTAAACGTTCCCCAAGCCGCTCGTTTCCTCCTGCTCAACTCTGGAGCTAGGTCGTTCATCATGTTGATTTCACGACCTAGATAGACGTAACTGGAGCATTCGGAGATTGTCGTTCCGTTGAGCGTGAATGGGGCATTAGAAACCCACCGGTTCCTCATGAACATTGTTTTCGTTAGATTCAGTTGAAGACCGATCTTTCCACAGGCGTTATCGAAATCAGTCAACATTCGTTCCGCTTGGCTGATGTTTGGTGTTATGAGAACGATATCGTCAGCAAAGCGAAGATGGTTTAATTGTCGACCGTCAATTTTCACTCCCATTTCGTCCCATTCTAATGTTCAGCATGACGTTTTGTAGGGTGGCAGTGAATAGTTTTGGCGAAATTGTATCGCCTTGTCGAACCCCTCTTCTTACGTCAATGGTGATATTGTTGTGGAATGGAGATATTTTGATCATAAAATCTTTATAAAGCTCACGAAGGATCATTATGTACCGAGTAGGGACGCCCTGGTTATTCAGAGCCTCTATAACCGCTTCTGTTTCCACTGAATCAAAGGCTTTCTTAAGATCGATAAAAGTGAAGCAGAGTGGTTGTTTGTACTCTCGCGAAACTTCAATGAGTTTTGTAATCGTATGGATGTGGTCTATAGTACTAAATCCTTTTCTGAACCCTGCTTGTTCCCATGGCTGTCTTTCGTCCCAGTGATCTGTCAATCCTGTTAGATGACTCGAGTAAAGAGTTTATAGGCAACAGACAGCAAGCAGATTGGACGATAATTGCCTATGTCGTGAAGGTCTCCCTTTCTGAACAACAATACGGTCTTGCTGGTTTTCCATTGAATAGGGACCTTGCATTCTGACAGTCTAACGAGTGAAGAGCTGAGGCCAGGGTGTTGATGAGAACTGGCGGCAGATTCTTTAGGTGTTCTGGTCTAATCCTGTCTGGACCGGGTGTTGTTCTGCTCTTCACCGACGATATAGCATGTCGGATTTCGGAAGGGAGTACCGGTGGGACGACATATTCGTCCTCTTTCAATTTATATGACGGTAAGAGGACATGGCAGCGAAGAGATGCGAGTAGTATTGGTGGACGATTTTCTCCATAGCCCTTCTCGAAGCTGTAAGTGTCCCGTCAGGGTATCGGAGTGCGGTCATCTTGGTCTTATAGTTGGCGAAGCCTCGCTGGGCTTTACGATGCTCTTCCCAACTTCTGCAGCTTCTGCCATAACTGCTGCTCTTCTCTCTTTAAGGTCTTCCTTTCTCGCTTCTCTGCATCGTTTCGCAAGATCGGAACGTAAGGATTCGGTTGCCTGCAGCTCGTGCGATTCCGCGTTGACGTATCAGC